ATCAAAAGAATTACTACACAGTTATCGCAACCGTCATCTCAAATAACAGTCACACAATCATCCCAGACTCTACTATCCTAATAACCATCACACAATCATCCCAGACTCTACTATCCTAATAACCATCACACAATCATCCCAGACTCTACTATCCTAATAACCATCACACAATCATCCCAGACTCTACTGACCTAATAACCATCACACAATCATCCCAGACTCTACTGTCCTTATAACCATCACACAATCATCCCAGACTCTACTGTCCTAATAACCATCACACAATCATCCCAGACCCTACTGTCCTTATAACCATCACACAATCATCCCAGACTCTACTATCCTAATAACCATCACACAATCATCCCAGACTCTACTATCCTAATAACCATCACACAATCATCCCAGACTCTACTATCCTAATAACCATCACACAATCATCCCAGACTCTACTGTCCTAATAACCATCACACAATCATCCCAGACTCTACTGACCTAATAACCATCACACAATCATCCCAGACTCTACTATCCTAATAACCATCACACTATCCTAATAACCATCACACAATCATCACAGACTCTACTATCCTAATAACCATCACACAATCATCCCAGACTCTACTATCCTAATAACCATCACACAATCATCCCAGACTCTACTATCCTAATAACCATCACACAATCATCCTTATAACCATCACACTCACAGACTACTATCCTAATAACCATCACACAATCATCACAGACTGTACTGTCCTTATAAACATCACACAATCATCCCAGACTCTACTATCCTAATAACCATCACACAATCATCACAGCCCCTGCTATCCTAATAACCATCACACAATCATCCCAGACTCTACTATCCTAATAACCATCACACAATCATCCCAGACTCTACTATCCTAATAACCATCACACAATCATTCCAGACTGTACTATCCTAATAACCATCACACAATCATTCCAGACTGTACTGACCTAATAACCATCACACAATCATCCCAGACTCTACTATCCTAATAACCATCACACAACAATCATCCTAATAACCATCACACAATCATCCCAGATCCTAATAACCATCACACAATCACTACTATCCTAATAACCATCACACAATCATCCCAGACTCTACTATCCTAATAACCATCACACAATCACACATCCCAGACTCTACTATCCTAATAACCATCACACAATCATCACAGCCCCTGCTATCCTAATAACCATCACACAATCATCCCAGACTCTACTATCCTAATAACCATCACACAATCATCCCAGACTGTACTATCCTAATAACCATCACACAATCATCCCAGACTCTACTATCCTAATAACCATCACACAATCATCCCAGACTCTACTATCCTAATAACCATCACACAATCATCCCAGACTCTACTATCCTAATAACCATCACACAATCATCCCAGACTCTACTATCCTAATAACCATCACACAATCATCCCAGACTCTACTATCCTAATAACCATCACACAATCATCCCAGACTCTACTATCCTAATAACCATCACACAATCACTATCCTAATAACCATCACACAATCATCCCAGACTCTACTATCCTAATAACCATCACACAATCATCCCAGACTCTACTATCCTAATAACCATCACACAATCATCCCAGACTCTACTATCCTAATAACCATCACACAATCATCCCAGACTCTACTATCCTAATAACCATCACACAATCATCCCAGACTCTACTATCCTAATAACCATCACACAATCATCACAGACTCTACTATCCTAATACTAAGATCTAATAACCATCACACAATCATCCCAGACTCTACTATCCTAATAACCATCACACAATCATCCCAGACTCTACTATCCTAATAACCATCACACAATCATCACAGACTGTACTATCCTAATAACCATCACACAATCATCCCAGACTCTACTATCCTAATAACCATCACACAATCATCAGACCAGATCCTAATACTATCCTAATAACCATCACACACACAATCCTAATAACCATCACACAATCATCCAGACTCTACTGACCTAATAACCATCACACAATCATCACAGACTCTACTATCCTAATAACCATCACACAATCATCACAGACTGTACTATCCTAATAACCATCACACAATCATCCCAGACTCTACTATCCTAATAACCATCACACAATCATCACAGACTCTACTATCCTAATAACCATCACACAATCATCCCAGACTCTACTATCCTAATAACCATCACACAATCATCACAGACTGTACTATCCTAATAACCATCACACAATCATCACAGACTCTACTATCCTAATAACCATCACACAATCATTCCAGACTCTACTATCCTAATAACCATCACACAATCATCCCAGACTCTACTATCCTAATAACCATCACACAATCATTCCAGACTCTACTATCCTAATAACCATCACACAATCATCCCAGACTCTACTATCCTAATAACCATCACACAATCATCCCAGACCCTACTATCCTAATAACCATCACACAATCATCACAGACTGTACTATCCTAATAACCATCACACAATCATCCCAGACTCTACTATCCTAATAACCATCACACAATCATCCCAGACTCTACTATCCTAATAACCATCACACTATCATATAAGATCTACTATCCTAATAACCATCACACAATCATCCCAGACTCTACTATCCTAATAACAATCACACAATCATCACAGACTGTACTAACCTCACATAACCATCACACAATCACACATCCCAGACTACTACTATAACCTCACACAATAACCATCACACAATAACCATCACACAATCAGACTCTACTATCCTAATAACCATCACACAATCATATCCTAATAACCATCACACAATCATATCCTAATAACCATCACACAATCATCCCAGACTCTACTATCCTAATAACCATCAACCATCACACAATCATAACCATCACACAATCATCACAGACTACTATCCTAATAACCATCACACAATCATCCCAGACTCTACTATCCTAATAACCATCACACAATCATCACAGACTGTACTATCCTAATAACCATCACACAATCATCCCAGACTCTACTATCCTAATAACCATCACACAATCATCACAGACTGTACTATCCTAATAACCATCACACAATCATCCCAGACTGTACTATCCTAATAACCATCACACAATCATCCCAGACTCTACTATCCTAATAACCATCACACAATCATCCCAGACTCTACTGTCCTTATAACCATCACACAATCATCACAGACTCTACTGTCCTAATAACCATCACACAATCATCCCAGACTCTACTATCCTAATAACCATCACACAATCATCCCAGACTCTACTATCCTAATAACCATCACACAATCATCACAGACTGTACTATCCTAATAACCATCACACAATCATCCCAGACTGTACTATCCTAATAACCATCACACAATCATCACAGACTGTACTATCCTAATAACCATCACACAATCATCCCAGACTCTACTGTCCTAATAACCATCACACAATAATCTCAGACTCTACTGCCCTAATAACCATCACACAATAATCTCAGACTCTACTGTCCTAATAACCATCACACAATCATCCCAGACTCTACTGTCCTAATAACCATCACACAATAATCTCAGACTCTACTGTCCTAATAACCATCACACTATCATCCCAGACTCTACTATCCTAATAACCATCACACAATCATCCCAGACTCTACTATCCTAATAACCATCACACAATCATCACAGACTGTACCTATTGTTCAATCATCTCAAACCCAACTACCATAATTAGGATCACTTCAAACAAATCTATTTCTTCACTAATATGAAACACCATTGAATAAAAGGAATTCCATTATTGAAGAATCTCGATGGGGTGAGTGTTTATTTATAGATGACTGGCGTGTCGGCGTATACAATACCCTGTTACTTCACCACATCTAGGGAGAGGGGATGGGGAATTCGTGATAGGCGATGTACAAATGGTATACAGCTGTTCTTATGCATAGAATATGCCGAAATGACAGGTATCTTGTGTATACAATTGATTCCAGCCTGTTAGCTAATTACCGTAAAACCAGCAAAAACACACAGTGTTGAGATTAACTCTTTCAGAACCCAGAATAAAACCCCCCACCCCACCCCCTATCACCTTACCAATGAAATTAGTGTTTACTCTTTAGTCTGTTGAACAGGAAGAACTGCAGACCATTTGAAGCTGAACATAAACCACGAAGAAAAAGAAGTATCTATGTTCATGATCGATAGAGGTAAAAGAACAGAAACTGATATATTTTGATTTGTGCCTGTAATTTGCACCATAAATAATTTGTATTTAAATGAAGCGGAGACCTCAATGATACAGTAACTTATTGCCGTGGGTACCTCAATGATATTGTAAATTATTGTCGTGAAAATGTCATACCCATGCGCATTTCATTTTCTTTTAAATCCGGTCACAATCTTTGACACGATTTATTTCTCCGGACAAGTGGAACAATCACCCGGTATCTATATTACACTAACTTTGAACAACTTCACATCAAATCAACAACTAATTTGAAACAGCTTGCTGTTTTCGTAATATAGACACAGGCACTTAAAGCTAATATAGACGAAAACCTCGGCTCAGCAAACTTGACATTGAAATACTTGAAAAGGTCGAGTTTGCAGTGGTGAAAGTTATAAATAGAACTGAAAATATCACATGTGAGTTTTTCCATACAGAAAGTAGTACTTACCCTACCGGAAGGTGGTGGAAAAGATGGACCCGGAAGATGGAAATGAGGCTGGGGAATGCCTGACACTTATTTTAGCATGGTAAATGATAATTGACAATCACCCAAACATATTTCGTCAGTTACTTCCTAACGATAGAAGATCACGCACGCGGCCGCACGTGTAGCCTATATAAGGCGAAGTGCCTGAGTCCGCTAACACAGAAACATACACTCACAGCACACCTTCACTTACCCTCTGTACTACAAGGGGCTGGTTCAGGTCCCTACCGCCCTGTAGACGGAATCCCCAGGGGGTATCGAACGAATCCCGAAACAGCTTCACCCTCATCTTCTATGGTCGGTCAGTTCCTAATAGCCATCCTTCAAAAAAAAGTACAAATTTCACTTGCAGAGGCACACACACACACGGGCGTTAGGGAGGCAGAAATAATGGAATGCTACCTATGCCTACAAGTTGCAGGGAAACATATCTCTGTTACCTACTGCAACAACCTTCAGGCAAGCGATTATATTAGAAATAAGTTTTACCTATGCGTACCAGACGGTAAGTGCCAAGTCGATGGCAGACTCTCCCTGTATCTTACCTCATCTGACGGCGCCCAATTTAGCTCAGCTGGAAGTTTGTATGTTTTCACAGTAAAATGCTTTCTCTAAAATTACAAGCCACACTCATTCCGCACACATGCATACACAGGTAGTTTTATGTAGAAACAATGAAAGTTGAAACTAAACGTTAGAGCTTGTATAGTCGTAACAAATACCTAAGAATGCAACTAAATTAGGATGAATAAAATTTTCTCTTAAAGAATGTAGTTTTCAATTTGTTTACCAGTATACATTCATTCTATAACTCTTCTCCAAATGCACCAACAGAAGAATAACAAGCTTAATTTAAGTTGACGCTATGTAACCTATGAAAACAAAACGTGTAAATCTAGCTTAAAATCCACAGAATGACGGAAAAAGTACATGAAAATTCTTGAGAAAAAATGCATAAGAATTACACTTGTATTAATATACAGTATGCCAAAATATTACTGGTAAAATACTGAATCAGATTTCAGTCCGACAACACGCAAATAAACTATAAAGGAATGAAAAGGTGATAGTGGGACAATGGTTAAAGTTGTTATAAACAGATGTTATAGACAATGTGTTTATGTTAATTGAAGGCGATTTAACACATAGTTACTGTTAATGATACGGGCCTGTGTGGATGGGATGTTAAATAGTGGGAGGGTTACTGGGCCATGAAACAGATCTTATCTCGGCATAAATTGTCGACAATGAATCTCGGACAAATGCGCGTGCGACCTTCACTCGCTTTAATCACAGATACGATCTGAGAATAGAGGAGCGAAGGGACCATCGGAACAGAGATTTTTGGGCGACATGTTTTTTATCTAAGAGTGATACTAACCTGCTTAGGTGAAGCAACTGCTATAAAGACCCGACCGGACGGGAATGTGAACCTGGACTCTCTCAGCCTCTGTAACTACACACGGAGTCGAAATCGACGAGAGCTGACGAATAGCGGCACTCTGGAGAGATAGTACGAAGTATGATCGTTAGTGGCTGGCCAGAGTTGGTATATTTAGCAATGCCGAAAGATGGGTAAATGCTAGGAGCTTTATTTATCAACCAACCCCACTCTTACATCTTGTGTATGAGATTCATTATATCATGAACAAGGTCTGGAAGTGATTCCGGACAGATTCTCGGGTCTGATAGGGGTTCCTACTGTTTCGCTGATATTCTCATGATGTTACTTTTGTATTGCGATCAGACAAGTCTAATGGCCTACAGGAAAAAATTTGATTACATAGTACGGTTGTAAGGACCCCGTTATAATGCAGTACCTATCCGGGGTAAGGTATCAGGTATTCTAGGGACCAGCAGAGAAAAAGTTGAATAATACAGTACTGATGTAAATGAACCTGGTATAAAACAATTACTATTCGGGGTAAGATATACTAGTCTAGGGGCTTACAGAGAAATGTTTTTATGACATAGTACGGATGTAAAGGACACTGTTTTAAACGAGTTACTATCCGGGGTAAGGTATACCAGTCTAGGGGCCTACAGAGAAATGTTTTAATGACATAGTACGGATGTAAAGGACACTGGTATAAACGAGTTACTATCCGGGGTAAGATATACTAGTCTAGGGGCCTACAGAGAAATGTTTTAATGACATAGTACGGGTGTAAAGGACACTGGTATAAACGAGTTACTATTCGGGGTAAGGTATACTATTCTAGGGGCCTACAGAGAAATGTTTTAATGGCATAGTACGGATGTAAAGGACACTGGTATAAACGAGTTACTATTCGGGGTAAGGTATACCAGTCTAGGGGCCTACAGAGAAATGTTTTAATGACATAGTACGGGTGTAAAGGACACTGGTATAAACGAGTTACTATTCGGGGTAAGGTATACCAGTCTAGGGGCCTACAGAGAAATGTTTTAATGACAAAGTACGGATGTAAAGGACACTGTTTTAAACGAGTTACTATTCGGGGTAAGGTATACTAGTCTAGGGGCCTACAGAGAAATGTTTTAATGACATAGTACTGGTGTAAATAAACCTGGTATAAAATAATTACTATCCGGGGTAAGATATACTAGTCTAGGGGCCTACAGAGAAATGTTTTAATGACATAGTACGGATGTAAAGGACACTGGTATAAACGAGTTACTATCCGGGGTAAGATATACTAGTCTAGGGGCCTACAGAGAAATGTTTTAATGACATAGTACGGGTGTAAAGGACACTGGTATAAACGAGTTACTATCCGGGGTAAGATATACCAGTCTAGGGGCCTACAGAGAAATGTTTTAATGACAAAGTACGGATGTAAAGGACACTGTTTTAAACGAGTTACTATTCGGGGTAAGGTATACTAGTCTAGGGGCCTACAGAGAAATGTTTTAATGACATAGTACTGGTGTAAATAAACCTGGTATAAAATAATTACTATCCGGGGTAAGATATACTAGTCTAGGGGCCTACAGAGAAATGTTTTAATGACATAGTACGGGTGTAAAGGACACTGGTATAAACGAGTTACTATTCGGGGTAAGATATACCAGTCTAGGGGCCTACAGAGAAATGTTTTAATGACATAGTACGGGTGTAAAGGACACTGGTATAAACGAGTTACTATTCGGGGTAAGATAAACTAGTCTAGGGGCCTACAGAGAAATGTTTTAATGACATAGTACGGATGTAAAGGACACTGGTATAAACGAGTTACTATTCGGGGTAAGATATACTAGTCTAAAGGCCTACGGGGAGTCAATAAATATTGTTCTCGAGTGCAAGGAACGACATCTCTTGGTAGTTCTTAATGATAATATTATAGCGAAGATAATGGTGATGATATTTGTGGGGGGGGGGTTCTAGTTTTATGTTGTGGGTGGTTTGTTGATGAAATTGTATGTTGCAATGACCTTTAACCAGTAGGATCAGGGTGGTTTTTTAACGAATTTTTGGTTTGTTACAAACTGACAAGCAATCGAACCTGGGTAATTGATTGCGCGAAATTTTACGTGATTTGAAAATATGTTTGGAAAAATCGCCTAATAGTGCGGGACCATGGATATACCATGATTCAATTGTTGAAGGGCTGACGGAAAAGCGATTTTGTCATCGTCTCTTAATGATTTGTTAATAATTAAAATATGTTGTGTGCCTGTAATTTTGATCCAACTATCATAAGTAAGAGAAATCTTGAGTAAATTCAGTCGGTCATTTTTGATAATTATGGCCACACCCTCGCTTATATCTTTAGTTGTCGACAGTATAACTGATTAACTAGTGAACTATGATAAAAAGCTTGGCATTACTGTTCTGCGACAAGTATTTCACTCAATAAGTATAACTTACCTCGATACATAGATTTTTATAATGTAGTTTTATTGAAATGATGATCCTATAAATTGATATTTTACCAGAATGACGGTTGACCGAGTCGATTCCGCGAGGGTTCACAGATTTGACATACATCAATAATCAGATATAGGTATATAACAATTAGAGATGATAGAAGTACTGTACTATTTAATTTATGGTAATGATAAGATTTGGGACGAAACTTTGGTGCGTTTTAGCGTTTATTTTATCGTACCACCTGAAACTGGCCAAAATCCGTCGTTGTAGAAAGTAAATGATGACCTCCCTCTCACTGATAAAACTATTTTGTCGACGATTCAACCGATAAACTACTGAACCATGTAATATAATAACTTGAAAATGTTCTTCGAAAAACACAATTTGTCCATCTGATTTCTGTCCATTCATCCATTTTGGGAATGACAGTGAAAGATATGATATGTGACTGTCAGTCATTAATATATGTGGCTGGAAACATTACTAGTTTAACAGTATTGTGTGTATGTAGACTTGCCAGCCTATCTAGGGCCTTGGTTTCACAATTTGCCATTATTTGGTCAAGTATTTTAGATTGGGATGCTTGCTGGTTACATGTCACAGTTAATGTACTGGATGATTTTTTGTTCTGTTTTTCATTATTTATGCTGGCAAGTTTCAATATTACGAGTTAAGGGAAAAGAATGTTATGTATTTGCCAAGGAGTAATTCTCCCTATCAGGATATTTTATCACCTCCAAGAAAATCTGATCAGTCGATTAAAACAATTGTTTCCATTTTATTATACATTTTTATTGCTACTTTTAACATCAAGTTGTAATTGTCTGTAAGCTCCCATCTAAGACAAATCATGACGTAAATGTATTGATGCTATGGGACAGACTTGTAATTAAAAGATAATATAAATTGATTGTAAACTGCTTTTCCAGAGAAAAAACTTCAACAGAACAATTACAAGTGACTTTTTCAGAAGGTTTTGAAAACATAATGAAAAAAATATTAAAACAACAAGTTATATTATCACTTTCAAGACTACAGTTAAAATTCTTAAGTATTTAATATTATTGTTGTACATTGTATTGTGTACATGTAGTGTAGTCCTAATTAACTATTTAATACTATTGTTGTACATTATATTGTGTACATGTAGTGTAGTCCTAATTAACTATTTAATACTTTTGTTGTACATTGTATTGTGTACATGTAGTGTAGTCCTAATTAACTATTTAATACTTTTGTTGTACATTGTATTGTGTACATGTATCATTTTTTCTAGCCCCTGAGTGAGAATCTATTAAAGGCTACACACTGAAAAGGACATTGTGACCTTATTCCCCTTCTTCTATTCTATAAAAACTTGAAGATATTTGCATCAAACAAAACAACTTTAAACAGACTTGTCAGACAGTTTGTGCCATTCCTATACCTTAAACTATCCTTGATGAGGATGGACATTTAATTGTGCCTCACTACTGCATCATCTTTCTATGACTTAGAAGGGCATAGATAACTAGGACATAGAATGGCATAGATAACTAGGACATAGAAGGGCATAGATAACTAGGACATAGAAGGGCATAGATAACTAGGACTTAGAAGGGCATAGATAACTAGGACTTAGAAGGGCATAGATAACTAGGACATAGAAGGGCATAGATAACTAGGACATAGAAGGGCATAGATAACTAGGACATAGAAGGGCATAGATAACTAGGACATAGAAGGACATAGATAACTAGGACATAGAAGGGCATAGATAACTAGGACTTAGAAGGGCATAGATAACTAGGACATAGAAGGGCATAGATAACTAGGACATAGAAGGGCATAGATAAATAGGACATAGAAGGGCATAGATAACTATCAAAGCCCGAATGAGGTTGCCAACAATATCATTACAAGCACGTGTTGATTAAGAAATACCTACCGTTATTTATCTTCTACGATAGGAGGGGGCATAACTCTTCTTGTTGATGCATTGCAAGTAAATTCCTGCGAAACGTCCGTTATCGATTATGAGAACATCATGGAATTTAACATTGATCGCTTATAACTTTGGAAACAAAGCATTGAGAAATGCAAAAGAAATTGACATAGTATAGTAGTCTATGTTAAGCTAAAATCTTAATAACTGGTACTGAAAAGTGACAAGGGGAGACAACTTGTGAGAGCTTGAAGGTAAACACCTAAACTAACCTCACTATAAATACCTATAATTATATATTAATTTATAATAACTTCATCATAACTAGTTATAATTAGTTTGTTTTATAATAACTTCATCATGACGAGTTATGATTGTTTTAAGATAATCTTCATCATAGCCAATTATAATTAGTTTGTTTTATAATAACTTCATCATAACCAGTTATATTTAGTTGGTTAATGATTGTTTTAAGATAATCTTCATCATAGCCAATTATAATTAGTTTGTTTTAAAATAATCTTATAATCTTAATCATAACCAGTTATATTTAGTTGGTTTTATAATAACTTGATCATAACCAGTTATAGTAAGTTTGTTTTATAATAAACTTCATCCTTACCAGTCGTGATAATTTTGTTTTATAATAACTTCATCATAACCAGTTATAATTAGTTTTTTTGAAGTAATCTTCATCACATCCCGTTATAAGTAGTTTGTTTTAAAGTATTCTGCATCAAATTCAGTTATAATTAGT